CAGGAGAATTGCCTGAACCCAGGAGGCGGAGGTTGCGGTGAGCCGAGATCGCGTCATTGCACTCCAGCCTGGGTAACAAGAGCGAAACTCCGTCTTAAAAAAAAAAAAAAAAGTGAAAGGGGCCGGGCGCTGTGGCTCAAGCCTGTAATCCCAGCACTTTGGGAGGCCTAGGCGGGTGGATCTCGAGGTCGAGAGATCGAGACCATCCTGGCCAACGTGGTGAAAGCCCGTCTCTACTAAAAATACAAAACATTAGCTGGGCTTGGTGACGTGAGCCTGTAGTCCCAACTACTTGGGAGGCTGAGGCAGAATTGCTTGAATGCGGGAGGCAGAGTTTGCAGTGAGCTGAGATTGTGCCACTGCACTCCAGCCTGGCACCTGGAGACAGAGTAAGACTGTCTCAAAAAAAATAAAAAACAGTAATATAAAAAGTGAAAGGAACAACTAAAGAAAAGTAGGCTTACATATGGGGTTCTTCAATTAAAAGAACAAAATGGAATGTTCTAATTCAATAAAATACACTAATCGTGGAATTACATTTAAAAATTATTTTGTGTGCCCTAAATTTTATAATTTATATAATCTTTGACCACTTCACGTAATGAAAATCTCATAAAGTATAAAAGAAAAAAATTATAAGAAACAAAAATTGTAGGTTTAGCGTATCATGTACATAAAAACAAAATTCACATGAAGAGATTTTGAATCATAAGCCATAATATTTTACAGTAATTAATCCAATAGAAAGGAAAGAGTATAGGCCAGGCTCGATGGCTCATGCCGGTAATCCCAGTACTTTGGGAGGCCAAGTCAGGTGGATCACTTGAGGTCAGGAGTTCAAAATCAGCCTGTCCAACATGGCGAAACCTCATCTTTACTTAAGATACAAAATTAGCAGGGCATGGTGTTACATGCCTGTAATCCCAGCTACTGGGGAGGCTGAGACAGGAGAATCGCTTGAACCTGGGAGGCAGAGGTTGTAGTGGGCCAAGATCATGCCACTGCACTCCAGCCTAGGCAACAAGAGTAAAACTCCATATATATAAAAAAAGGAAAGAGTATAGATTTGCTTTCAGCATTTTTTAGGTTTATAGTTTTCTAGTAAATTACTCACCTTACTAAAATGATTTTTGTTCCAACACTGCTCTTTTCTTCTTAAAATAGGTACGTTT